CCCCCCCCCTTCCCGGGCCTCCCCCCCGGGAGCTGGGAACCCACCGAGTCAGGGGCTGAACCAACAGACTTGGGACCATGGGAAGGCGCTTGGTTTCCAACGGGACAGTGCCTAGTTCTGTTTCCAAGGCAGACCCCTTTAGAAAAGAGGATTCAGGTAGAGCTCTGAAAAATGGGGTACCCCAAAGTAGTGAGCTGCTTCTGAAATGCGAGGTCTTCGAGGATACAGGTTGGACCTCCCTGGTCCAGCACCCTGGGGACTCTCCCAGCTGTCAGCCCCTCTGGCGTGCCAGTCCTGGCTTCTGTTCCCAGCCTGGCTGGGGCTTGCTCCCCGCCACTGGCCCGGCAGGGGCTCTTAGCCACTGGACCCGTTGCCGCTGGCCAGGACTTTGCACCTGAATCCTGGCCACCTCTGCTCTCAGGTGGGCTCTCTGGGCCAGTAATATCCATGCAATCACGAATGTTGCTGCACCAGAGTGCGCCGGATTTCAGAGGTTCATTATAAGGGACTGATGGATAAGGAAAGACCATGAGATTTCCAGGAGAAGTATTTACAGCTCAGCCCGAGGAGAGTGGGGGTGTCTGAAGGACTTAGACCCCCAATGGAGGGAAGGGAAGGGAACTGTTCAGCTCTGAGGAGATGAAGCAGAACACAGTTGCAGGTTGAGCATCAGGAAGCGTCTCCTACTCCACTGCAAACACCACAAGCTTTGCTGCTCGGGGAGTTTAAAACCAGACTTCAGAGCGATCCGGCTCCTGCTGGTGGACACGGTGTTGGCTCGCAATATACTGTGTGCCCTCTAGATGTTGCTGTGCGCTGCAGAGAGCTCCAAGTGGGGCGTGATCCCTGGCACACAACAGGAGACAAAGGGGGCGGGGGGGTCAGGCTGCACGGAACCCGAGTTAGATCTGCAGAAGGTTTGAAAACTACACGCCCTGGTTAATATGGACTTTGACACCAGGCAGAACGGCAGCACTGGAGGGTAGGACAACTTGATTATCATCTCTTCCCTCATGCTGATTGATGGGAGTGCACTGGCAGTAGCGTCTAGCGGCCCCAATGGAGATCACTGCTCCACGCTACGCACACAGAGCAAGAGAGTCTCTGCCCCACGGAGCTTACAGTCTACACCAACAAGACAGACCAGGTGAGGCAGGCAAGTGCCCAGACTCCAGTAGCAGAAGATGCATCGGGATGAAGATCTACCTAAAATAAACCCACGTGGTTTGTTCCTCATCTTGATCAGGGCCAGCAATGTGAACCAGCCTCTTGCACAGGCATGAAGGAGAGAAATGGAAGCTCAGAAGCATCCGAGAATGTGACCCAAACGGCAGAGACCCTTGCAAGAACTCTCTCTCCCACAGGGAGCTAGGGCAGATGGATTCCTTCTCGCAGAGACTCAGAGCTGACGGGAGGGTTGCTGGTTTCCATCTGGTCTGGCAGAGCAGTATAAACATCACGCAGGCCCTCCTGTGGGGGGCATCCAGAGTGCGTCATCAAGACCACTCATCTGCTTCAGGTCTCTCCCGTGGCATGTTCCGCATAAGGCCCGCAGAGAGAGCGTGCCAAATGCCAGCAGCTCAGCTGTCTGTTGCCCTTGTCGATGCAGGCTCTATCACTTGCTACCCCTGCTAACGCCCCAGAGCCACATCTGCCTAAGGAAAGAGCTAGAATGAACTGGACCCAGATTCCTTTACAAAAATATAGCCAGCCCGCAGATGGGGAGTGCTGCACTCTCGGCCGGAGACTGAGGCTCAGAACTCCTGGATTGAATTCCAAGCTCTGCTACCGGGCCATGATCACAGCAGGTCATTCTAGATCACATCGCCGAGGTTCTATTCCCAGCTTTGCAGCCTGGCCTCTCTGGGCCTCAGTTTCCCCACCTGGCATCGGCTTTGTGAGGCTCACTTGGCATTTGTGAATTGCTTCAAAATCCTCAGCTGACAGGAGCTAACCCATTGGGAAAGCAATGGGAAGTCTCATAAGGGCCAAGGAGCCGCTGCTAAGTCGGGTTACTCAACGTAAAAGAGAGCTTTTTAGGTGAGCAAATTCTTTACCTACATCTGGGATGCGACCGAAATGGGGGTTTCCTGCTTTCTGGACATTTTGCAAGGTTTGAGGTTCCACCCAAGACTGAGGTTCCACCCTGTCATTCCCACCCACAAAATCCATTACGCTCTAATTGCTGCTCTTCGCTTTGGGCAGGTAGCAGCAGCCTGCCTGGCTACCTAGGCCACAAGCAGACGGCATCAAGGCTACTTTCCATACCGGATGCTGCTCCTGCTGATCTTTATTCAGGTTCCAGGGAGGTTGCTAGACCAAAACCAATCAAACACTGTCTGCTTCTATTTTGGTAGGAACTATTAAAAAAGTGATGCTCCCCTGATCCTATTTCCCAAAACTGTGCTGGAAACATCCAGTGTGGGGTCAACCCTCAAGTGAAAATAAAAGAAGAGGATGATCTAGGTAAGTCTGTTAACCTCAGCGAGCAACATCCGTTTCAGCTCTTTCCATCAGACGCTGTTGGCTCAGCTCTCATAACCAGGGGATCCATGGGGATCTCTGGGGCTCTGGCTGTGCAGAATGGGCAGGTGATCTTTACAGAGAGAGACCCAAACGTGTGCGCCAGGGGGACTTTGTTTCATACTCATCTCAGCTACCAGCCTCTCCATTCTATAGTTGGGGAAACCGAGGCAGGTGGCATGACTTACCCAAGGTCACCTGGCAAATCTCATCACCATGTCAGGGCAAGAAGCCAGGAGTCCCAGACCACTGGCCTCACCCATTCAGCGCCCTAAGAAACCACGTTGCCACTGTTGCAGCAACTGACACCAGAGTGCAGGGCAGAGTTTTGGGAGGCTGCCAAGCTGACTTGCTGCCAAGCTGCACACGGTGTCTACATTCCGCCGGCAGAACAGGCCGGGGGCGGGCGCAAACTCCTGGCGCATTAGATCATGGGTAAAAATATTAGGGAGGGGGTGGTTAAGGCTGAGGCTCTGGGCCGGGAGCCGGCTTGCTTTGTGCACAGCCAGTCGGCCCTTCTCAATGCCCGGCTACAAGCGCCACCGACTCCCTGAGTTGTCGGACTGACGTGGGGACCTGGAGCATGCCCCCCAGTGGCTGCTGAGCCCAGGCCCTAACACTGCCTGCTCCTGCAGGGTGTGTCCCTGGGACTACACAGTGCCCCACGGGGTGCTTGGCACCTGGCAGCATCGGACGGAGCTCTGTAGTCGTCACACACGCAGAGCTCCCACTGAAATCCCCAGCAGCTGGTCCAACCAAGGCCCTTTTAGCGCTCCCAGTCTGGGGCTAGGCCCAGAGCCTGCAGCCTAACACAGTAGCTGCCTGATTAATAAGCTGCAGACGGGCCAGAGAGAGAGAGAATCAGGCTTTTCTGGGAACAGCCAGCTCCACACTCCTCTACACACGAGGCCTCCCCAGTTTACACCACCCGAGGATTTGGCATTTGGATTATCGGACAGAGCCCCAAAGGGACGTCCCTTGTGGTCAGAATTCCTGCCCATCAGCCACACAAGGCAGGCGAGGGAATATTTTTTGCTGGACCTACTTCTGGCGGAGGGAGGGACAAGCTTTGGAGCTCCATGCACCTCTTCTTCGGGTGGCCGGCAGACGTCTCCCTCCGCCAGACGAGACAGTCCCTCCCGTACCTTGTCTTGCTCCCGTTCTGAGTCCAAAAGGGCTGCAACAGCCCTGCAAGCAGCTTCCCGCTAGAGGTGGGCCTGGACGGTCCCCTCCAGAGGCATGTGGGCAGATCCGAACTAGCCAAAACACACCCGCCCACCGCAGAGACAGTT